TTTTAGATTTCTTTTCCAGCAACTGTTTCTTGATCATATGAATGTGTAACTATTTTCATGCAAGTTTTGGTTTGCAATGCAATATGAAAGAGATTTTAATTTCATACGTATTTGCTTCAATGATCATCGACTCTGATTTGACGTGACAATATTGATTTGGTTGCTTTTCCAACAAGTGGTGCCCATAGTTCGTGTGAACGTGGTTGCCGCAATTTCAAAACGTTTGAAATATGAATGTAAAAAATGATACCAACACAAAACTCGTGAAAGTTGAGGATCGTAATTGAATTTACTCCAAATGAAATAAAGTTAACTCTAGGAAAATTTTGATCGAGTAGGAATCGACAAGCTTAAATGACCGAGATTAGTCAANGAATTTACTCCAAATGAAATAATGTCAACTCTAGGTAAATTTTGATCGAGTTCGAATCGACAAGCTTAAATGACCGAGTTTAGTCAAATTAGATCTTTCAAATCCGGGGCGGACGCAGACCTTAAAAGTTAAGGGGCACAATCGAAATTGCAAAACAGTTGAGAGAAATTTTACAATCGAAAATTTACGTCCAAAAAAATCATACCCAATATAATTTTACATCCGAAAAATTACATGGGATATGACTTTTTCGAATGTAAAATTTCGAAAAAAAAATTTATGTCATATTTCATATAAAATTGCCTAATAAAATGATGAAAATTATATTGAGAAATTTGTATTGCAAAAATAATAAATGCTAATGAAATAATTGAATTTTTTTAAAAAATGCGAGTTAGATGTCTTTTTTAAGAACGTTTAACGTATTTTTAATTATTTTCGATATCTGTTTGAACTATTCGATATGTCCATAATGTAGTTCTCGAAATAAACTTTGAGATGACATGAGCAATTTGTAAATTCGATTAGGTTACGATCGTCGGAAATTTTTTAAAATTAGCATGTTATCGAAATTCAATCTATTGTGATTTTGCCCGTTTGGTGGAGATTAAATTTAAATTTTTAGTAAATTTTGATAAAAGTTAAACAAATATGGATTTCATGAAATATGTTATTAAAATTAATTATTAACTTTGATTAAAATTAAAATACCAAACGATTTTATATAAAAAAAAAAAAATCTCAAAAGTGCTAGAGCCTACAGAATGAATGTAAATACAAAAGTAGGGCAGAAACAAGGGAGGAAGGAATCAAACTGAAAATCCGAGTCAGACCAAAATTTCCCGGTGCGGGGACCATAAAAATAAAACACAATNTTGCCCCCCAGGACCCCTTAGGTCCGCCCATGTTTCAAATAAAAAATTAGAAAATACGATTATGTCCATGTTTCAACAATCATTCTACAGCGCTAGGTGGATTTGATAGAAACGTTGACACAATGATACATAAGATTCTATTATTGAATTGTTTAAAATACAATCATATTTTTATCACTGCATTTGTCAAAATCCTTCTCACAAAATGGCATAATCCTTGTTGTTTCAAAATAAGTTTTTTTTTTTTTTTAGATTATAAGCTGAAGTTCAATTTTATTTCATATATCGTTGAATCCATAACTTTATTTTGTTGTTTTTTTTTTTTTAACTAGATATTTCATGAGACTCACGTGCTTACAATTTCAAAAAACTTTCGAACTTATTCTTCGTTTTGAAAATATGGGTCCCATAGGAATATAGGATGGCAGTGGAGGGCTCAGGGGTGGGTCTACGGTGGTCACGAGGTTTGTTACACTCCTCTTTGGTTTGAAATAAAATTTCGAGTTAAAGTCAATAATTAATTTTAATCACACATTTTATAACATCCAAAACTTTTCAATCGCACATTTATCAACTTCTATCAAAACCTATTAAAAATCTGATTTTAATCCCTACGAAACAAGACAAGGGTTATATAAATGGGGAAAGCTACGTGTACACAATGGTGTTCACACGGCTTTACACCCCCCTCACATGGAGAGGGCCCACACACAATAAAATATTTGTGAGCCTGCCTTCATGTGAGGGGGGTGTAAAATCGTGTGTACAAGAATGAATGTAAATACAAAAGTAGGGCAGAAACAAGGGAGGAAGGAATCAAACTGAAATTCCGAGTCAGACCAAAATTTCCCGTTGAGGGGACCATAAAAATAAAACACAAT